ATGTAGGTATTTTCTATACCCCAATCAACACAATTTAGATTATTTAGGAGGCAGACTTCGACCCTGCACATTTGACCCAACCCGAGCTGAGAAGGGCACAGCGACCCAACAGAAAGACAATAAATAATATATTATGTGCTCGATAAAAAATTCTCCACACGCGGGAATCAAACTCAGGTCTTCTGCAGTACAGCTCAGACATCGGTGCCAAGACCCGGAGACATTCGGAAAAAAACAACAGCAAAAAGTCTAAGGATTTGGTAGCTTAAAAGAGATACTGGGTCTAAATTTGATTTACTGGCCAAGAAATTGATTAGTTTATTGCGTTTAGAGAGACGAGTTTGTCCAAAACAGGGTCCATTTCTCGGCCCGTCTCTCCCTTTCCCTAGGTTAGGGGCTGCACAGACACAGGGGGATACGGTTCGGAAATGAATGGAATCAATCATAGTGACTCTCTCTCTCTCTCTCTCTCTCTCTCTCTCTCTCTCTCTCTCTCTCTCTCTCTCTCTCTCTCTCCCTCGTTCCCGTCCCTCTACACCCTTTCAAAAATATCCCAACCACGTCGAGATCTACTTCGGTGTCAATGCGGGCAGGCTACATTAAAGGACCTCCCAGACCTTAACAAAATTGTTTACATTTTATGTATATTTCATTAGACTGATCAATTGATAACGACACACACAGACACCCGTCAACGGGTTGACCTTTATTTGGTTTCTGGTAAGTCGTTTTTTTTGTTGTTACAAATTCCACAGCAACAAGCAACAGTAGTAACAGCAACAACCAACAGTAGTAACAGCAACAACAATTGCAACAACAGCAACTACAGCAGCAACAGCAACAGCAGAAACAGCAGAAGCAGCAGAAGCAGCACCAACCGTACCAACAGCAGCGTCAATACAAAAGTGGTAATTTTGTAATCAAGTGATTGTTATAAGCTTGTCCTCTTCGTTAGACACGCGCGCCTGCTCATTTTAAGTCGTCGTTTCCTACTTTAGTTCCTCGACTTCGCGCTTAGTATAACAATAACTAGAAAATACCTTTCATGCCCTGGAAAGAACGTCTAATACTCACACTCATGAGTGCATTTTATAACGTATAGAATTCCTCCTTAAGTTTAGAAGTAAAGAAGCATCAAAATAAGGAAAGGGGGGGGGGGGCCTAAGTACATGTGAAAATACGATGTGAACGTTCTGGACGTTTGCACATAACTACACGAATAATAACCCAGCTTTACGTCAAACACAGTCTAGTAATTTCTGCAAGAGGACTCAACTGTACGACAATAAACTGGGAAAACTATCAGGCTCAGTTTCCCTCGACTTGGCAATAACTTTTCTAAACATTATAATGTACTTGTTGTTTTCGTCCCCATCGACACATGTTAGATAATTTAAAAGGGACGGCGTCTGACCCTGGCAGTCAGGGCCAATCCTTGCTGAGAGGGAAACAACATCCCAGCAAAAGACAGAGCTTGTCTTTTATATAATATGATATTCTCCCCGTTCAGCAATTAAACTCAGTCTTTCAGCAGAGGAAAACATGTCAGACTTTCAAAGTTGACACACGCGCTCATATGACCTTATGCAGTTGCGAGCGCCGTAAAACCCTATACTATACATGCTATAAAGCTGACACAAAATCGAGCGTCTCTGCACGGTGAAAAGCCGGTCCAAAATTTGTTTCCCGTGTGAGTTAACAGCTACATCACAGACGTCGGGGCTCTCACTCTAGACTTCTACAAGTAAGTGAAAGGATAAACAGGCCTGCTTTACTTGTTTGTAACGACTGAAAATAAATCTATGTAATGCTCCATTCTTAACAATCTAGATAATTTAGGAGGACAACTGCTTCGACGACTCTCAGTTTCAATGCTAACTTGGGCTGCTTGGAATACTGTAACATTGCAGAAATTGAAAGACAACTGATACTAGAAAAAATATCTGAACAGTGGGTTATTCACAACTTTTGCTTCAGACGGGCAGAGCCTAACCATTACACACCAGCGTCTGTGGTGTAGCGGTAAGGCACTTCGCTGTCACACGCTGTAGACGCGAGTTCGATTCCCGAGGAAAGAGAATATTGTCATAGAGTATCTTGGGATGTTGTATGTATCCCTCTCAGCCCTTGGCAGGTTCGGTACGGAGCCCACCTCCTAAATGATATATATCGTGTCCCTAGGGGACTTAAAACACCTACACTGATTTTAAAAAAAAAATTCATTACACAAGAGACGCCCATCCGGCAACCGCAGCTTTACTGTGGAACAACACTGATGACAACCTGTGTTCAGATGAACTTGTGTCCTGTCGACTCTTCTCCTCCTTCCTTATTCATTTCTCGTTCGCTACTTTGGAATTAACAAAGTTCTCTCTCGGATTTTTGGCCGTTTTGAGTTACCCAGACCTATGAAATCACAGAAGAAATGTTCTATCCGCTGCATCAAAATCGTCAGAATATTTAGAGTCGTTATCAAGGTATTCCAAGAATTGATTTAGAGTCGTTACCAAGGTATTCCAAGAATTGATTTAGAGTCGTTATCAAGGTATTCCAAGAATTGATTTAGAGTCGTTACCAAGGTATTCCAAGAATTGATTTAGAGTCGTTATCAAAGTATTCCAAGAATTGATTTAGAGTCGTTATCAAGGTAATCAAGGTATTCCAAGAATTGATTTAGAGTCATTATCAAGGTATTCCAAGAATTGTGTACGAGAAAGCTTGACATGTCTGTTGTGGAAATCAAAACTTTAAAAAGTCAAATTTCTCAAAACTAAGAACTGAGCAGATAGAACTTTGTAATTCTTGGGTAGCGTGGTGCTCCTACGACTGGAAAAAGTGCCCTGCTTCGGGATTGATGAATTAATTATGTCTCGCGGGGGTTTTA